GTCCATACTAATTTTATTCAGTGATTAATTCACCAAATTACTGATTTTTCCCTTACTTATTCATAGGCCATCAGGTAATTAAGACAGTCTGTACTATATCATCTGACAGCTGTGAGGAGGACAGCAATCATTCAGTTCTGTAGACTCTTATCACTCATATCAGGCAAACGGGACCTGTGTAAATGTTGACAGGACTATATATCTTTGTTCTCACTTTCCTGAATACTTCATGAAAGAAAACAATAACTCATTGACCTTCCCAAAGCTCAAAAGCTCCTCAGTATTTAAGTATGAGAGGTGTTTTCATTTGTTTCTTAAAGCATCTTCACGCTTGCCTTCTTAACTGAATATAGTATATATGTTTATGACTAATTCGCTCATTTTTCTTGGTTCTAGAAACATGATTTTGCGTGTCCTTCATTTTTGTTTCAGATTTTGACTTAATGGAAGAAAAGGGAAAACGGCCTATAAATGTTAGTTCTTTATGTTTGTGATATAAATTCAAATCAGTCATTCTCCAACACAGTGTCATGGACTGTTATTTACAATAGAGTGAACATAATAGACTTTTTAATGAGAAAGACCAATGTTATATAAGGAGATTTTCCCCAGCTTTGTCTCCCCCAAAGATATGCTAAACATTAGAGGCTATTTGCCAGCATATGATGGGAGGTCAGATGCTTAGAGACATCCTCGCTCAAGGCAGTCGGTTGTCAGACTACTGTCTGGTCCCTCCACAGATGGTACCAAGTCCCTGCTGTTAAGGACAACGGGCTACTTCTCCCTAAACCCTTGCGGCCATCAGTTTGGTCCTTGTAGGTGGGGTTTACACTCTACTGATAATGATTTATGTGGAGATCCAGAGAACAGGTCAAACCTGCTCAGTGACATCCAAAGTTAGGTTGCCATATTGAGTCTAGGGTCTGCCCTTCTTGTCACATGTATACACTTAGTCCCTCCCCTTCCTATCATGTGTACACCCCTAACTCATCCCCTTCCTGTTATGCCTATGCCCATTGTATATCCCCATTAATTGTTTGTGTTGCCTATTGTACAGCCCCTTCCTGTGACGTGTGGTTACCTGTAATCACACCCCCTAAAAGGATAGATAAGCCTTGGTTAGCAATAAAGGTCTCTCTCTGGCTCTCTCCTCCCCACCTCACCTCGCTCTCCTGCCCTCAGCCCACGCTGTGTGTGGACCTGGCTGGTAAGATCATGGCTGTCCCGGAAGTTAATATGCTACTATGAAATGTGTCTGACTTCTTTATTTTACCCTCCACTATTACTCTCTATTACTTTATTATAATCTTTATGTATCTTAACCATACAATTGCACTTATCTAACCCGTGATTAGCTGTTGGCGGGGGAGGGGGGGGCTGGCCTTTCCCCCACAAATGGCGCCCATCACATTGCAGTAGGAAAAGAACTCTTCTGAGTCATACCCCATGTAACAATTGTACGGCCCCACCAGAATGTAGAGTGAATCAGAAAATTGTGTGAAGTGAGGATCCAGTGTGGGGATTGGCAGATAAGTAGTGGAACTATTGAATGAGTATTTTAAAGAAGACAATGGGGCAAGGTAAAAGTAAACCTGAAACTTATGGTCCTACGCTCATCCACTTACTGAGAAGACAGGGCATAAAAGTAACAAAGAAAAATATGCAATGTTTTCTAAAAGTAAAAAGGTACAATCCATGGTTCCCAGAGGAAGAAACTTTCAATCTAGAGATGTGGGAGGAGGTCATTGTAAACTTAAAGAAAGCACACAGAGATGGGGAGGATATCCCCTTGGCGACATGGTCTCTGTGGGTTCAAATTAACATGGTCTTAGTACCTTGGCAGGAGGAAGAGACAGAGGGTTATCAGTGTACTGAGAAGTCTTGTGTCTATCCAAATCTAGAATAGCAAGCTAAAATCTCTTTGAATGAGCATGATTTAAGTGATGAAATACTGAAGAAGCAGGGATTGATTTGTTATCTAATGCCTCCAATTCTAAAGGAAACCCAATGGCCAAAGCCTATATACCCTCAGGGGACTGCAGCCTCCAAAGGTCTAAAAGTGGTAAAGCACTAGAGGAAGCAAATTCCAAATTGCAAAGTGAGGCTGTTAAACAATCCCAGTAAGCTCCCTTGCTTTCAAAGGTAGTGAAAGCAAAGTAACAAGATCAGCAAAGTAGTAAGAAGCATCTAAGATAACCAAACTTAAATCTGGTGAAAGGCAGTTAAGATTGGGTGGTCTTTTCTGTATCCTTCATCTTTCTCCAAACATGGTTGTGTCCTTCTAAAGGGAGTTCATCAGCTTTATTCTGCACAAACATATATGCGTAGCCCTTTCTCCAGGTGACAAATGGACCTGGATCCTAAACGTGATTCCCATCTTCCTGGGAATTCTTAGAATCAACTTTTTCTGTAGAAGGGAAAAGGTTTTTCAATTGTGGATATGGGGTCATTTCCTTAGGGCATTCAAGAGGGCCTAAGACCCACCAACTAACTTCCTCTAAATCCAGCTTGGAAGGAATGAGAGGAGTTAACCAAGGCAGAATATTGCAAGATCGTAAAATCATACAGTGTAAAAAGCCTACCGATTTAATTGAGCCTGTAACCTATTGATAAACTTAGAGAAAAAAAATGTCTGCTTGGTAAATTACTTCAAAAACAGCTGAACAAATTTATTAAGAATTTTTTCAGTCTTTCAAATCATCTTGAGTGTGGTAAATTCTCACAATTCATCAGTGCTATCAATTCTCTTTGAGCTTGGAGGCAAAATTTACATAACAATGAACTCTAGCTAAGTAGTTATATTGGTCCCAAACCAAGCAAGTTAACAGAGATTGCTAGCAATGTTTTGAAATCTGAGTTGTTAAAACAGAAGGGGGAGAAGAGGAATCTTATGTGTGACATATTTCATTTGGTCATTTTTAACTAAAACATTTTTCTCCTTACTAAAATTTTGTAACAAAATTAGGGCAAATAAACACATTTGATTTGTTTGATTCTAAGAATTGTTGATTCTTAGTTGATTCTAAGTTCTAAGTTGATTCTAAGAATTTCCAGGAAGATGGAAATCATGTTTGGGATCCAGGTCCATTTGTCACCTGGAGGAAGGGCTATGCATATATGTTTTTGCAGAATAAAGCTGATGGACTTAGAAGGACACAGCCATGTTTGGAGAAAGATGAAGGATACAGAAAAGAACACCCAATCTTAACTAAGGTTCTGTTTCCAGGTTGCTGACACCCCGAAGGGAGGTGTTATGTGTTTATATTTTCACAGGCAAGGAGATAGATGGATTTCTCTTCAGCCAGCAAGGCCCAGAAGAAAGGAGGGAAGTTGATGTGTGACCTGACCCTGTCCTGCTACTGAAGTTGTTCAAAATGTCAAGAAGACCTCGCAGATTCCTGAGAATGGCGATTGTTGCCTGATGAGATATTTCTTTCATTGCAGATGCTAAGACACACTCTGGGACTCTATCATAACTGAACATTTTATACAATAGTGACTGGACTATTACTACAGACTGCTCTTTTGCTGAAAGATCAGATTATGGACTTTCATTATCATTTGATGTTAAATTGTATTAGAATGTTGCAGATTTTATGTTATCTATGTGATGTAGCCTTAAATAATTGGGATTTGATTAGAAAACATTTGCAAGAATTAAGGAAAACATTTTATTACAAGTGATTCAGCTAAGGATATTTTCTATACATTCAAGGGTGGATTTAAGGCATTCCACTAGCTGAGGTGATTAAGCAAATGGTGGATGGCCTAGAAAGAGGCTGGATCCCACGTGCTTGGGTTAAAAGTATTTCACATAGCTTAAGTTCCAGTCTGATTGTGTTGTTTATCATCAAATTTTTGATGCTCTCAGTCTCATGTCACTTCTATAGGAAGCTAAGAGATATGAAGAGAGACTATGTTGCTTCCGTGACACTATTAAATCTTAAGCATATGCAGAAGGGAGAAATGTGGGAAATTAAAACTGAGGTAAGCATGCTACCATGTGTCTGACTTCATTATTTCAATCTCTCTTCTATCTCTCATGCTCACATGTGGGGGGATGGCCTTTCCCCCACAATATACATAATAATTTTAATTAGTTTTAGCATCTTTATTCCTATTGCAGTAGTGCTGAAATTCTGAGTACTAGGTTTGTAGGAAGTTATGGTTTATAATAAAAGCTCCATGTCCAATTTTTAGTCTCCACATAGTTTCAACCTCCATTGAAATCTTTCTGACCACTGACTATCAATGTGAATAGCTTAGTCTCAAGCAGAGTGTTTTGAAAGTTGATTCTACCACTTTTCTAGCCAGCCAAGGAGGGAGCACTCTAACCCTTAGGGATTTCCCTTAGTATGCCATGGATGGAATTTAGAATACTGGGATACAGATGACAATAAGTCATATTTTGATTGCTTTAGGCAAAGGGCCCTGAAATAATCTCATAATCTTTTCTATCTATAATTTTGTATACATCCCAGTCAGTCACTTGACTTATTCTATAGTGCCACCTGCACATATGTATGATATATTGATCTGCTGCCAATCTTGTTTTTATGACAGTTCCCTTTATTCCAGGTTCAATTTAATGGTTATGATTTTGTAAATCTTTGGACACCAATGTGACTTTGTGCTGATGATTTCCTTAATCTGCATGGTTTGTTTTTGTCTTTGTCCTGCACAAGACTTAAAAAATATGTCTCCATAAAAAATGCATGAAATTTGGAGTATCCTTTCTTTCCTCCAATATTATTAAATTTTGCCTGTCAATTCATTAGGTTCAAGGGTGGCAGAAAGGATTAACAGTTTGTAGGTAGAACTTTTTGAAGGTCCCTCATATGCATGCATCGACAGTTACATCTTCAAATATACTTACCAACTGTTGGAAACAAAGTTTAAATAAAGAAAAATAATCTAGAAAGACCATATGAATTTCTGAACACCTTTGTTTTTATTTCACTGTTTTTATCATGTCTCTAGTTTACAGCATCTTAATTTTTTTATTTACTTAAGAAAAATGCAATCTTCCTTATCATGTCCATGAAGGCTCTCTTGACTTGCTGATTCCGTAGGCTGTATATAAAAGGGTTCAACATGGGAGCTACCGAGGTGTTTAGCACAGCTACTCCCTTGCTCAAAGATACCCTGTCTTTGGCTGATGGATTGATATACATGAAAATGCAGCTGCCATAAGAGATGGAGATGACAATCATGTGGGAAGAACATGTGGAAAAGGCCTTTGTCCTCTGACTCTTAGAAGGGATTCTCAAAATTGCTCTGATGATATATATGTAAGACAGAATTATTAATGCCAGAGTGAACAGTAGAGTAAGCACAGCACAGGAAAACCCTGTTAGTTCTAGGAATTTGGTGTCTGAACAAGAAAGACGTAATAAGGGGAAATAATCACAAGAAAAATGCTCGATAACATTGGACTTACAGTAATCAAGCTGCGTGAACAGCATAACTAAGGGGAATATGATTAAGAATGAAGCCAACCAAGAAGCAAAGACCAGCAGTGTGCAGACTCTATGATTCATGATGGTCGTGTAATGCAGGGGTTTGCAGATGGCCACATACCTGTCATAGGACATGGCAGCCAGAAGATTAAACTCTGTAACTCCCAAGAGAATAAAGAAGAATAGCTGAGCCATACAATCATTAAAGGAAATAGTTTTATCCCCTGTAATAATAGTCCCCAAGAACCTGGGTATACTGACAGTTGTAAATGAAATTTCCAACAAAGAGAAATTTCGGAGGAAGAAATACATGGGGGTCTGGAGGTGAGAATCCCAAAAGGTAAGGGTGATAATGGTCAGATTACCAGTGATGCTGAGCATGTAGGTGATAAACAGAAAGGTAAAAATCATGACCTGAAGCTTTGGGTCATTTGACAAGCCCAAGAGTATAAACCTTGTTACTTCTGTGTCGTTTTCCATTCCTCCCTCCCCCCCTCTCTTTTGTGAAATCTATAGTAGAAAACACAATGGGGATACGAGAGAAAAAAGAAATTATCCATGAATACTAATGGAATTTGGCTTTGAAAGAAACATATTATGGCATGCTGCCTTTTAGGGGAACTTTAAAAAGGTTGAATAACAATTGATAATATTTGCAAGTAGGTTTTTATCATGTGCTATGCTCTGTGTTTTATTATGCAAAGTAAAAATAAATTATATAATTTTTCTTCATAAGACTATATTTTACAGATTAGAAACAGTTTTCAAACATTTTAAAGATTCTTCCCCTAATCATATATATTGCGTGGGCTGAAAAGGGCTTAGCACCTAGTTCTAGTTTGATGTTTAATAATGCTAGAATAAAAACGAATGCCTATTGCTTTCAAAGACATTTGGGTGCAAGGTTCCCTTCTCATTGGGAACACTTTATCAAATTTCAAAAACAAATTCAAGTGTTCCATATTCTAAATCTTGTCACATTTTATATTATTTATAAGTAAGACATACTTAGGTCACTTGTGTCAGTTAAAAGGCCACTTAAATAAGATGGCACTAAATGTTGGGACTTATTATAGAATTATTCTTCTAATATTGTGACACATTTTTAAGTTTCTATTCTATTATTGAAGTTACCATTCTCAGCTTCTTTTCCAAGTTTGGTATTGGTTTTGCCTCTTCATTTGAATTTACAAACATTGTTCATTGTCAGAATGAGAAGTGGTAAAGTAGAAGTTCAAAACCATGTGGACCCACATTTTATGAATAACAAATGACACATCAACCTGTGGAGAATATTTTTTCTTTTAAGAATTCTACAATAAAATCTCTTGACTATTCTTTCTAAATAGCATGTGAATTTGTATATGCAGTTTTGCACCAATATTGTAATATGTATATCTGTATTTTAAATTTTTTCCACATTAGCATTCATTTATATTAGAAGTTCTAATTTCCTCAATACTTGGAAGTTAGCAGTAAGACAGAACATAAACATCCTTTATTTGTATGCTTCATAAAATAATAACAATAATAATAATAATAATAATACATTTTAAAGTAAATCAAAGCCTTCTGTCTGTAAACTGGACCAGGTCATCATATCACTCATTCTCTATATTCTCATTTAAACAGTAAAGTTTTGGCTGCAGAGTTATGAGAGAAGTGTCTGCAATAAATTATTGTATTTACTACTACAAATCTAGGACTCATGATTTTATAATGTATATTGCACCATAGTACCAAAATATTTCCCAAGTTGATCCCATTTAATTTTCCAGTATCTGACTGAGTTCTATTTTCATTCACTTCACTGCTTCACAAAACAATGGCGTCAGGATTCAATGAAAATTCCAACTGAGGGGCCAGTGATACTAGGAAAGTATAGGAGATTCACTTGAAAATGAGTATTTCCTTTGGATATTCCTCAAGGACAGGAGAAAACAGGCTTAATGGCACCTGTAGGAGGAACAGATATCACAAGGAAGGGTAAACACAATTACATATATGTGTGAATATAGCAAACATAAAAATTATTGTTCTCAATTAGCACTCTTCTATATTTAACAGCTTAATTAGGGCATAACAGCATTGGGCTGTGATCCACAGGCTAGCAGTTCAAAGCCACCAGTGGCTCTGTGGGAAAACGATAGAGCATTCTACCCATTTGAAGAATTAATGGATCTGAAACCCACAGTGGTCATTCTACCTGGACTTACAGAATCGCTGAGTCAACATCGACTACATGGCAGTGAATTTGGTTTTTAATTTTATGCTTATTTTAAATAATTTCAGGGATAGATTTAGGTAGTGAAAAATACCTCCAAATTTCTAAATCATTATTGTCTATTTTCTTTTTTACTACTCAGTTGTGATTTTCCCCAGTAATTTTCAACTAATGTTAATAAGCTTCATTTTATTTTCTGTCTTGTTTTTCCAATTAATCTCTCTCCTTCCCAACTCTATTCCTCTCTCAACCATCCTAACTATCAAAGAATTTTTCTTTCAGTAACCTGTAATATCATATAAGCACTTCATCTTGACCAAATTCAAAAAGTCTCATAATAAAAACCAATTGAGTACCCCCTCCCACCAACAATATGGTAACTCTAAAATTTCCCTTGAATATTTCTATAATCACTACAGAATTGCTTCCCAAACTTTTTTGAAAAAGTGAAGTACTTTTTTCTCAATAAAACTTCATGAAATGGGGAGGGAGGGGAAAAGGTGAGGAACTGATACTAAGGGCTCAAGTGGAGAGCAAATGTTTTGAGAATGATGAGGGAAACAAATGTACAAGGTACTTGGCACAGTGGATGTATGTATGGTCTGTGTACAAGCCTCCAATAAAATTATCTTAAAAATGCATGAAATAAATTGACAAAAATTAGAAAAAAGTTGCACTGCTTTCCAAAGGAAGAGTGAAGAGAATTAGCCATCCAAAGCACTCTTTCAAAATATAGGTTTTTCAAGAGAAAGTCTATTTATATTTTAATTTCTTCATTTACTAACTAGGTATCTACCATTAAGATAGTATTAATTTTAAAGGGAAAAGAACTCACATAAAATGTATGATGTCAGAACTTAGTATTAATTTGTGTTTTATGGGGTCATTGAGGAAATGTACAGGCTTTACATTCAGGGAAATGTAGATTTTAAATGAAACTGAACCACATTATAGTATTGCAGATTTTGACAAGTTATTGAATCTGTTTGTTTCATTTTAGTTTTTTAAAAATATTTCATGGAATTTTGGCAAAGATCAATGCAATTAAAATATAAAACTAATTTGTACAACATTTAACATAAAGTATATGCTCTGAGACAATGGTTATTGCTATCTCTACTATTATTTAAAGTTATTTAAGTTCCTGAACCTGTGGCAAATAGGTAGATGCAACAATAATTATCATAGATGAGTTCATTTATTTGAGGGACAATGCTAAGGGTTTGCACATTTTATATATAAATTATGTAACCCTAATATAATATATGAAGACTCTGATAAGAAAAGAGATAAGATAGCATATATTTAATCAAGTTCATACTGCAGTACAATTGGAATTCTAGCTGGCTTATATCTAAAAGGAAAGCCCATTTTATTTATTAAATAAATAATCATTTATTAAATGATCATTCCTATGACCAACAAGAAAGAGCAAACTCAGAGAATTATTTCTTCAAACTATTCTAAGTAAATGAATGCAACATATAGTAAATGTAAAAATATTCATATTTCGCAATTGTCCATACCTATCTATGTATACATAGAAACACCACAATGTTCAGCTAAGATCGAATGAAACAATGTTAAGACAAGACAAATTCTCACTGCCTTTCACTTTCTCTTCTTACCTCTGTTTGTCACACAGTACCCTGGGCTGCCTGGTTGATATGATTGAAAACTCTATATAGACAATCATATCTTCTTCAGGTCAAGATATGCATTATTTCTAAACACAACTTCCTCTTAATACATTCAACATTATTTTATTTCTGTAACTCTTATTATTGGATATATTTTCCATTATAGATATGAGTAGCAAAATAGTGAAGAGAAGAACTTCTCCTGACATGGTTCCTATAAAGATTTTGATCTATATAAACCACATGGAGTTTTATCTACCATCTCTTCCATAGACTCATGGGAATTATTTCAGTGACAACAAGAGTCAAGGGAAAATTCACTAAGGGTCATGAAAATGGTATCAACATTCATATTATAATTGGAATAAGAGGCTTGAGGGACAAGGTCCAAAGAGACAAAGTGGCCACAAGGAGTAGGTCAGAACTGCGTGGATTATTTTGCATACTACGTAAAGGAGAAGATATCCAAATGAGGAAAGGATTTGGGCAAGGGCTTCAGAGTTCCCCACATCTGGATTTCTCTGTAGAATAAGATAATGTTCATTAATCAATGGTTTCTTGTTAGAATATATGAGATTTAAAAATAATCAAATGTTCAAATTATGTCTAAAAAGTATTTCCGTTGTGACCCATTTGCCACAACAACAATAATATTAACTGTTGATCCACTATCAAAAAAGTTTATATTTAAATAATTTGAACGCTGAATATTTCATAGCTTTTAGTAGAAGCAGGAAATCGAGGAAATATAGCAAGCATTTAGATTTCAGGTTTTCATTTTAGAGGTGACAAAATAAAAATCCATTTATTGATTCACAATTTTCTTTATCCAATAAAAATTGTTGAGCAATTGTGAACTTTAAGCAATGTAAAGTCACGGGGAATAAAAATAAATAACAGTTTACATGATTTTAAGCTCCATGCACCTTATATGAAGGCAAACTAGAAAGAGAAAATGACAAACAATGTCACACAATAATTTGTCAAGTTTTTAAAGGATTGTAAGGTTTCTGGAGTGGGTGATACCTCTGTTCTTGGCTTCACAGGAGAAAACAATTCACGCCAGAGCCTGCTTTGTGAATCAAGTGGGTTTTTCTGAAGTACAGGAGAAGGTTCAGGTGTTATAGTCTCAAAGGGACCCGCTGTCCCTGCGAAGTGTGCCCAGCTGTGCTGAAGCCTCGTGGAATTTTACAACTGGGAATGAACAACCACGTGGAAAAGAGCACCCCCAGGTGCAGAAGACAGGGCCAGAGAGGTTGTGGCAAGAGCAGAGATCAGCGAGCAAGAGAGGCAGGAGAGCCAGTGCCAGACCATGCTGCCTGCCTTTATGACAGCCCACCTCCTGGCTGGGGGAAGGCGGGGTTGCAGGTATTGGTTGACACCATCAGCTGGCTTGAGCCCTCATGGGTGCTGTCATGAGCCCAGGCCTAGTTTGGACTGCCAAGGTGTACCTCTCACCTAGCTGGGGGCTTGAATTTGAGCATGCTCATAGATAATTTGGAAGTAAATTATTATAGATACATTTTCATTTTTGAGCCACACTTTTTGGCCTGCTAATAGACCTGTTAGCACAGAGCATCAGGTGATTACAAAATTTGCACTTAACAGAATGAATTGACTGATATTGGGTTTTGTAAGTTGTAATATTGAAATAGCA